TTCCAACCCAAACCATTTTATGATCTATGAGAGTTCATAAAATAGCCTTTCCAGCAATATCACTGAATCATTTACTTAGGCCAAAGAAGGAGAATTCCCGAAATTATTTTCGCTTTCAGTAGTCCAGCACAGGAATAGCTCCCCTCTGAAGACAGCACTATCTTTAACTCAACAGTCAGAAATTATTACTTGAAAGGAATACTAAGAAGATACATCATTGTCATGCTTATTTGAAAAAAACCAAAAGATAGTTTTCCTGTGACAAAAATAATGCAAGATGTAGCATCTTATCACGTATCTTGAGGTAAGAATCACACACTGATTGATAATACACACAGTGTTCTTCACGAAAAAAAAAAAAAAATCAGTTGTTGGTCTCAATCAAAATCCCACAATTTCACACACTTAGAATTTTACGCTGGCTTGAATTATGAAAATTAAAACAGAATTTGAACCTAAACCCAGTATCAGAATACCATTTTATAAAGAAAACACCATCTTAAAATAGTTGTGATTGAGTCATTAATTACAAAAAAATACACACACATTTTTGAAGTGGTCTACTGCAATATGTAGTAGATGTTACTGGCAGGCATATTTCAGGTATAATAAAATAGAAGACAATTTGTTTTAGAAGTATTTTTAGATAAACTTTTCATGTTAATAGAGATGGAGCACCTCAAACGGCATGCTCCTCAACTACTGAATGACTTATATGATGAGCCTTCCTGCTATCTGTATCTTACTGCATATTCCCAGCTAAGGACAAAAGTTTTAAAGCCTCAATACATGCAAGGTCTTGCCACATTAATACAGGTTCCCAACAAACAAACTTTTGGAGAGCAATTTGTGTGATATATTTAACATTTCATACCTGAAAAACTCAAAGTTGAGACAAGCTTTAGGCAAAAAAAATTTGTCATCTTGCTTGAACCATAGTTTGCTCATAGCAGTGTCCTGTGTCAAGAAAGGAGGTTTTGTTAAGTCACCTCATTTTTAACTGTAATATATTACACGATTAAAATAAAAGAAGTCTCATCACTACTTCAAATCTCAGTTTTGTGTTGTCCCTTTAAATGCATATTTTTGCCATATACATTTGTGTATACATCCATTGACCCCAAATAAGACTCTTACCATGTCACCTTAACATGCAGTTAAACGGCTGCAGCATTCTCAGTGAGCTTATGATCAAAATGGGAACTGTTTTGCTAGATCAGGAATGATCAAAGACAAAATGTAAAGCTGGAAAGGGTGGTGAGGCACTGAACAGGTTGCCCAGAGAAGCTGTGGGTGCCCCATCCCTGGATGTCTTCAAGGCCAGGCTGGATGAGGCTTTGAGCAACCTGGTCTAGTGAAGAGAACTTTTACATATAAAATTATTTCTCTTCCTCCTATTTTTGAGCAGATATTCTTTGCTTCTCAGAGATCTGAAATAACTCTCATCTCTTACAGGACACCTTCCTCTACACAACAGTCTACTTGCACTAAAAAGCCAAATTACAGCTCCTCTCCAAGACAAAAAAAATTCCATTCTGCTAAATTGCTACTCTACAGTTTAGAATACAGCTTACATCAGAGACAGGATGGTAACAGTAGAACCTGTCTTAAGTACCAGAGACCTGATCCCACAGCTGGAGATGTGAGCTAGCTGTAGCCCACCATAACAATGTGGCCCTCAGGGTCAAACCCCTGAGGGTTCTTCAGAGCGACACAGGTGACCTGGTGACCTACTGCCAATGAAAATGGCCATCCTGTTCCTGCACTTATGTTCCAGTCCCTTCCTTTGTCCACAGCACTGGTCCAGTCCACAGTAAGCTTGCTTAGGCATACAAGCCAACAGAAAAAAATGCTTTTTTGTAATCTCTGCTGATTTAGTTCACAGAATCACTAAGGTTGGAAAAGACCTGTAAGATCATCTAGTCCAACCATCAACCCAACACTACCATACCCACTAGACCATGTCCTCTTTCCTGGGCAGCCTGTTACAATGCCTGTAGTTCTTGCAGTGTTTTGCTGTGGGGTCAAATAAATGCCGGGCCCATAAAAGAAAAATGGCAGAGACATGCAGCTGACAAGAAAATAAGAGAGATGCAGGTAAAATAGATAATGTTTTCCCTCAAAAAACATTTTAAAGGGAAAGGAAAAACTAAAACCAAATACATTTCAAAAGCAATGATGCATTAAAGCAAAGCTTTTGTGTGGATCAATTGCTTAGTTGCTACAGAGACACTGAAGGACCATCAAGTTTCTGTAGCAAACCAATTAGTGTTACTTAATAGAGCTGCAGTATTTGTCCCTGCTGAGGCTTAGGGTTTCACTTCAGGATGAACATAAACACATGCTCAAAGTCCTCCTCCGTTAATAATACTGCTTCAATTATATACCTAAAATGACCTGTGCAGAACAAATACGTTTTCCTGAAGGATGTCTTTGCACTGAAGTAGACTTGTATTAATCTACTGTGCAAAAAGTATTCCGGAATTGAGTGTTCACCCTGAAACACAACATGTAAATGCAGAAGACTTTTCCTATTTATCCTCCAACTAAGCCCAGAAGAGAGATGAGCATTAGCAGAGACAACTACGCTTCAGTTGCGAGAAGTACTTTTTAAGTAAATTTTAGGTACTTGGAAAAACTGAGATTTGCTAAACATATTGAGATCATTAAATGATGCTTCCAGGAGACTGGAGAGAGATGTTTGTTTATGTGTTTACATCTCTCTCTCTTTTTCCATGCAACTACAAGCTTCTTACATACACAGTTACAAAAGAATAACCTTGTCTACACCCTTGAATTACTGAACACTGCTCAAAAAAATGTAGAGTGGCATTCACCCTACCGCTGAATAAATGGCCTTAGTACTGTTTCTATGATTAACAGACTTCAAAAGGACAAAGAGTTCAAGCTGTTTGTAGATTCATTTTTGTAGGAACCCAAACAGTCATAATCCATAGTTTAGCATGAATAAATTTTCTACTCTCTTTCTAGCACTATCTTTATATTTTGTATTTTTTTGTTTGTTACACTTCGGAATATGACACAATTTGTATTTTAAAAACACACAGGAATTAACTGCTACCTTCCCAGAAGGTTAGCTAGCAAACAGAACAAATACAGATAGCTTACCTTGACAAGGGCAGGGTACTGTGTCGCATCTTTTTCCAATGGTAAAATCTCAAAGTTAGTAGGAATGAACTCATTCTTCATTGGAAGTTTGAATTTCCCATTCAGGTCAGCATTCTGCCATTTCTAGATAAACAGAAACCATGAGGCTAAGTAGAATTTCTGCTTAATTAATGGATATATACTTACATATTGTATTATGTAACAAAATATTTTGAAATGTGTTCCACTAGCTTATGTCTAAATACTATTAAGATAAGAGAAGTATCTGGAAAAACAAATTGGAGTAGTCTATCAGCAGGACGAAATGCTCTTAGGAGGAAAGACAAAAGACAAAACAATCTTGAAACATTTACAGTAGAGTGGAAAGTGGTTCTAGGTCTCATCTTTTCTGCTACTGTGAACTCTAACTTAAGGTGTTAAACTGAATACATGAGCGAGAATTGTGATAAAGATGATAGGAAGGCACAAGCTGAAGGAAGTGAAGTGTTCCTATGCAACGTCTGTTCGAAGCGTGCTCAGCACGTCTAATATAGCTCTAAGTGTATTTTACAGCCATCTCAAAAGAATAGATCAATAACCAGGTTCAACAAGAATCTGCCCACCTCCTTTGGAGTTTTGATTTTTAGAAACTCGTTTCATTGACAAAATACACTCTTTTTTCTAGTTTGCAAAAATAACTTTCAGAAACACAGTTACGTAGAGCAACATATAATAGAGACTTTTAAGTTTTAAAAAGTTAACACATTTTTAAGTAGCCACTAAATTTTATGGATCTGTTACAGCAAAAATGGCATAACATTCCCTGTATCTATCATAGTTTCAAACAATTAAAATGTATCTGTCCTATGTAATAAATGTTTCAAACCTGAATACTAACATAAAATCCTTACTTTTCATAACATTAAAACAGACTCACTACAATTTTCATGCCATGTAAAGCAGCAGATTTTTTTCCTTTCAACTAAATGGAAAATTAGACTTAAAAAAAAAAATCTACTGCTGTTTTTTGCTTGCAGATATTAGAATACATAAAAAGTTGTAACATGCCTTAATAACTTCATCAGAAATTGCTTCTTGCTTGTACTGTGTTCCATACCAGTCTTCTGTTCGATCAGTTTTTCCTTCAAAAGACTTGGAAACTATTGCAACCCTGAAAACAAAGAGGCAAAGCACTTTGGCATGAGTGTGTCTGAGGAAAGACTGAGAAATTATTCAGAGCACTGGTTCTGTTCCACCCCTAGAACTGGAAACGGTTCCTGGACAATTATAGAGCACATTTGGCTAGCAGGCATATGTATACTGAACTACACACTAAGGTTAACCATGACATCAGGTTATCAGTGTAATTTCATTTTACTGTTTTTCTGAAGTGTTACACGCAATTTTGTTGCATGCAATTTCAATTTTTCAGACTTTGTCCTTGTTCCAGAAAACACAGAAATCAGTCCTTGGGATGATCTACAAAGTTAATGAAGTGACTATAACATTTTTTGTATCACCCATAATCAACACTCAGATAAGTGAAAAAACTGACTATAGAAATTTTATTCCAGACCTAGCATTTTAGATTAAGTCATTGCAGTTTCACCCTCCCATACATAAACTGAGAGTTTCTTCATTTTCTATCATTTTCATGTTCTCATTTCAGATGGATACCTCCCTTTCCTCTTTTGCTTTTCTTTTGGTTGTTTTGAGGGAAAGGGAAGAAAAGCAGGAAGATTAATGTATTTTACAGTTAATACAACAGAATTATACTCAGTTAGAAACCTAAATCATAGAATATCTCAAGTTGGAAGGGACCCATAAGGTCCAGCTCCCTGGTTCTCACAGTACCTAAAACTAAACTGTATGACTAAAAGCATTGTCCAGAGGCTCCTTGAACTGAAGTACACACCTAAATAAGAGGAAATGCAGAATATTACAAACTTATCAGTTCTTTTCCCATAATCTTCATAATAGGTATCAAGAAAACTCCTTAATTTGTTTTAATAGTCCACAACATAAGAGAGTATTGAATAGAAGTAGCTAGCTTTAAGACTAAACATTTATAGAAATTCTGAAGTTGTTAAAAAAGGTACCACAGTTACCACCTATCAATCCCTAGATGCTGCAAAGCACAGTAATGAACCTTCTCAAATCTCATGCAGATGGCTCAGATGCACATTAAAACATTCAAAATATATGCAATGTAAATGTTGGTTTTCAAATCACAGTATCTTCAGGCTAGTAACATTCTGTTGTCTATTTCTAATGTGCATGGCAAAGTGAGGCGTAAATCAAGAAGCATCTGGACATGCCTCAAATTATAGTACTTTACTTCACAAATATGTTACTGGAGAATACCATTGGGATTAATTTTGCAATACAGTGAAAAGTTTAAATATATGGCTAATAATGTTGTAAATGCCTATGTCCTCATCCCACCTTTTTCACCTGATGTTTACACATACATGACTAAACGATCCAAGAAAGTTGAAGAAAACAGGATTCTGGTATATTTAGTTCGAGATTCCCCTATCAGAAAGGCTTTCAAATTATTAATAATTTAATCTGTGCTTTGCAGTTTGAGCAGCAGGAGAACAACAGGGTAAATAGCTAGCATTAGATGTATTTAAATAAGTAAGAACTACATCTCAGTCATGTGGGATTGAAAGACATTCTCTAGCAACACATTCAAAAACTGAAGCAGAACTTACACCACAGACTATCTAATTTTGAGACCGTATTTTTGATCATACACACTGAAGAAGGGCAATCAAATCTTATGTTTCAGGGATACAGATTTTGTCTGGATTGAGGAAAGGAGAAATTTTTACTCCTCATCTCTGAAAGCAACATGATTAGCATGAACAAACACATGCACAAAACCACCCCTGCTCCTCTGCAAAAGTTATGCAATATACAAACCAGAATAACAACATTAATCTTGAAGCGATACATATTTCATCTCCCAGTGGAAATGGCAATAGAAATGGTTAACATTTTTATTGTTACTTCATGTAAAATGGTTTCATATCTGTTTGTATGTTACATCTCTTTCATTTGTTATACAAAATGAACAATTCTAAATAAATTCAGCAAAGAATGAAGCACTTTAATCCTAGGGAATACTTATTCCTGCAACACAGCAGATACCAGCTCAGTCAGCAAAGTGAAATCTATTAGAGAGATTGTTGTTTACATTAAAATGAGCCATAGGAATATTCTATTATATTTTGCATTTTAACTTGGACAGCTGGTGAGCAAAAGCTCTGCCATGTACACATGAAGTTGCTAAGACACTACAGAAACCATAAAGTCTGTTACAATTTTAAAGCAACCTACCAGGCTCTTCTGCCCATTAAATAAATATTAAAAAACCCCAAACACTTAAAAGATTAGCCTGATAAAATTCCAAGAATCATGCTGTCTGAGCAGCAAGACAAAGGTGTTTGATGCTGCAATACACAGATGTCTGTTATCTGACATTCCCTCCTTCTACCCTTCTCCAACATACTGACGCCCCAGCAGTAGTGACAATCCAAGCACCCAAACATTTGCTGTAGGAACATACTAAAATTGGAGAGCTAAAAATAATTCTGCCTGCTCAACAGACAGAAAATGAAATTGTGGAAACCAGCACTGCAATTCTTCAAGCGGTTCTACTTCAAGGGATCCTCCTGCCCTCCCCTATACCCCAAATCACTATTGGAGTATCACGTACATTTTGAGCTCTCATAAACATAACCACAACCACAGGAAACAAACCAAAAGACATTTCATCCACCCGAGGCTTACAACCTACACCAAGGTACAAGCCCCAACCAGGACAGGAAAAGAAGAGGGGGAAAAGCAGCACCACAGGCAGAAATACACTGCTACGCAGTTATTTAAATGCATCATGATGTATCTTTACAGTCACCAATTATGTAATTTTACTTTTGCTTTTCATTTCCGTGCTGTAGCACCATGAACATCCACATGGTTTAATACAGTGTAGAAATGCACTGGAAAAGCAAAACAGGCAATCAGGAAATTCTTAATAGGACCTGCTTATAACGTATTTAAACTCAACCAACTGGGCTTCTGAGCTGTTCGTGAACACTGAACACGGCTGAAACTAGAAACGCAGTGTACTTCTGTATGTACATTCTTGTACATGCAAACTGCTGTAGTCCTCCGCTGTGGTCAGTTTTCAAAAACAAGCACAATTTCTACAACGTGATACAGATTTACCAGATACCATCTTGTTTTCACTCTCCTGAAATCAAAATGAAGCTACAAGTGACAGATCAACAGAAAGTCTTATTTGGGAAAAGAATGTATGCTTTAAAATGGAAGTGCTTCCAGGACAGACTATCAGCTAGTACACTGCAGATTTACATAATAAAAGTCAAGCTTCTAAGGGTGAAGAAGTCATAGACTTTGAGACCACAGTATTGGTGATATTAGTAATGGAAGTGTCAAAGCCAATCTGTTGAGGGGGGCGGGGGGAGGAGGAGAGCAAAGGGAACTGCTTTTTTTAGGAACTTCCAGATTTAGACTTCCAGATGATGAGATTGTCAAACAACAGAAAAAGTTACATGCATCTTAGTCAAATGCATAAAATATCATGACTGATACACAACCTGCAGAAGCCTAGGTCTGTAACTTCCCCCAAAACCATGAGTAAAACTGAGGTGAGGCAATACGGGCTATTGAAAGCCACTTCACACAAATCTCATTATAAAACAGATTCAGAGGGGAAACTACATACAGAGACATGTTGCTGGGGTGCAGTATTCTAATCATTCTGCAGAAGTATGAGTTATTTATTTGGGGTCAATAAAACTATGTTACTACAAACGCAATGGTTTGTGGGGGGGAACTAAGTGAACAAACTGTGATTTTCCCAATCTTTACTGAGATACAATGCAATTAAAAAATTAAACACACATTCCATATTTGTCACATGTTTATCATCAGCTAAGAGCATCACTGACTGTATTGAAACAAGTGTTTGCTCAGTATCCGTGAAATTCCAGTCCTCAACTTCCATATCCAGATTTCTGGCATTCATTTTATTACACCAGTGCTGCGCTTAGAATCACAGAATCACATACAGGCTGGGAAAGACTTTTAAGATCAAGTCCAACCATCCAACTTCAGATATCAGGAGAGGAAAAAACTCCATTTACTATCTAGGAGAAGATGTTCTTTAGTTGCTTAATTTGATGAGTCACTAGCTTTTTAAATTTTAATAAGAGCATTTATTCTGCAGATGATGAGGGGAAGAAATTGTATTGGAAATGATGGGAAAATTACATTTTTCAGCTAAGATTGCAACACATGCCAAGTCTACTCCCTTATCTTCCCAGATGGCTGGCAAAACCAAATGCAGTTTGAACAAGTAAAAATGATACTTAACATCTTAAAAAGGTCTCTCTCTTAGGGAAATTAAGCCACTAAATGCCACACGTAGTGTGCGGGGGCGGGGAGGAGAGTATGAAAACTTCCTGTTATGGTTCAGTCAAATAAAAGCACATATGGATACTTGCTACCATCTGTGAGTATGGATATTGTTCCATACTTTTTAAAAACAGTTTGTTAAGAAAATAACAGTCAAAAAGCTGAACTTTTTAAAAAGACACTGAACAGTAGTCTCTAACTGTGAATGCAGCCACCCCAATATAGATATGCCAACAGAAGTCCTTAGTGTAGATGAATTCCACTAGGTTTATGAAAAGGAAATTATACATAAAACCATGATACAAAGGAAAAATTCAAATCAATGAAACTAAACTACTGCAAGACAATTTATACGAGGCATTAAAAAAAAACACCAAACCTGGAAAAAAGCCCCAGGCAAAGTTAGGATGATGTGGCACATACTAATTCTTTCATTAACAGGGAGAATAGAAAGGTAAACATGAGCATAAATATCAGTGAATGGCAGATATCAGAACACATATACATATTTAAAAGCACATGTCCACAGTTGTTTATTAGTATGTACAAATTGCTTGAGCAAAGACAAAAGAAGGAAACGAGGTACTGGATTGATAGCTTACTACATGCATATGGATACAGATATAATTTTAAAAAGTAAAACACAAGGGGACCCTTTTATTAGCATCTATAATCTTAACTCATTCTTTCAAGAGAGCCCACTAAAAATGCAAATCTACAGTT